TTAGTTAATTAGTTAGAAAAAGTAATTAGTTTAGTACCGTAAGGGTTAGGGTAGTATACTACCGTACATAGTGTATTAGTATATATACTATAGTACTAGTATATATATATATATATATATATATATATATACACCCATACATGGGATTAGATATATCTGGGACTTGATATATATATCCATACGAGAGTATATATCCGTATATGAGATTCGATATATCTGAGACTTGATATATATATCCGTATAAGGGTATTTCGATAATTTATATCATCTATCTGGGAATTTGCGATTGGGGGTTCATCCAAAAAGTTAAGGGTTAAGGAAAAAACGCATCTCTCTTTGTAATTAGACAGAAACAGAGAGGCGTGAGTAAGAGAGCGTATTGTAACCCTAATTTCAATTGCCAGTAAAGAAGCTCTAATCTCTTGCCTACGTTGCCGAACCACGTATATCTATGCGTTGTGGTTGGTTGTTTATTTCTTTTATATTTGTTTCTTCTTTTTTGTTTTCGTGGATTGCTTTTCGTTTTTACAGTTTTATTATAGACATCAAAATAACAAATATGAGAATATGAGAAAAAGAACGATCGATATCTTCACAAATATAGTCGCTGAGAAATATCATGCACATTTAAATATTTATGAGTATTCACCATTGTATGTATATGAACAAATTTCATACAAGTAATTGTAACAACAAGACCCACTTGCTAACTCGTTCATACTTCTCTACTCGATGAATGTATATGTAATTGATTAAACAAATGTATTTTACATCTCCATTGTACGAGACAATGAATGTAATTAGCAATACGTCTATAGATACCTTGGAACTATTCATTATCCAAAAAAGCTTTGTTCACATATATACCCTGACAGAGTGGTTATTGAAGTTCTTTTGTGTTTGTTTAGTGTTTTTGGCACATTTCAACTTAAAACCACCCAGCAGGTAGTTTGGTCATTTTATTTTTTTTGAAATATTATTTTAATATTATTTTTAGGTTTGCTCTATTGAGATGATAACACACACCAAATCTCACATTTGCAAAAAAAACTAAAAATAAAATACTCCAAGGTGTTAGATCCAGATTAAATGGTCAGAGGCTTAGTTGTGACATTATGACTGAATCTATCTAACATAGCTGGAAATCATTGGAAACAAATAACCGGCAAATGCAACCCCATTTTAAAAAGAGAAAAAAATTTAAGAATAAATTAGCAAGAAGAAAGATAGAGTGTGGGGATCTGAGATCTCCACCATGCATAACAAAATCAAAATAAGAGAAAAGACCTACATAGTTGAATAAAAAGTGTGATGTCTTTTTACATAATGTGGAGAGAGAGAGAGAGCCTTGTGGGTTTTATGTGAAAGAAGGTGAAAAAAAAAATCAGCAACATGTTAGAGAGATAGAGTATTTGTGGGTATTTTTTTTCTCTATTCCTTTTGTGGTGCGTGGTAGAATCTCAGATCTCCACATTTGTTCCTTCTTGTAAATATTTTCTCAATTGTTCGTTTCTCTCTAAAACATGATTATATTTGCTAGTGATTTTGAGATGCATCACTATCCCAACCATCCATTCACATCAGATATCTAGGAGATAGTGGCATATGTAAATTCCCCAGGCCCAATGGCATATAGAAAGCTTTCTCTTTCATAAAAAAGAGAGGTTTGTATGAAGTGTCAGCCTTATACTATTGAAGTAATGAGCACATCAAAACTTTGCCAAAATATACACTTTCAGAAGCAGAAAGCCCTTCGATAGCATGAAAATCTATTGTTATATCTAATTATAGAATTTAAAAGCTAAAAAAATAACCAAAGCATATCTATAAACCCTTATAAAAATTGAAAAATAGATGCACCAACTAATACATTATGAGATGCACTATTTTCATGACTTGAAATTATTATTTTCATATCCATAAGTTTTAAAGTCGATATGATCAATTTTAATTTTTTTTAATATTAGAACGAGATTTTTCTTCATTAAAAGGAATTGTTCATTGAGAATGGCCTGGGGCCTTAGTAGTAGTATTGTAGAGCCCTATGGTGAGGTCTTAGATTCCATTATTACCAAAAAGGGGGGGGCCCAAATCCCCACGGACCAATTACATTTAGGGAATGGTGCAGTTTGTATAGAACATAGGCTCTTAACAATCAAATTAGAGCCTACCTTTAAATACTGTCAAGAAATATGGTTTCAATACTAAAAATCTTTTTGATAACCTTAAAATATATTTTCATTTGTATTTATAAATTTAAAAAAGCTTAAAAAATAGTATAGATCGTGAGATCTATGAAAACTTGTTTGATAGCCTTAAAATATATTTTCATTTTTATTTATAAATTTTAAAAAATTTAAAAAATAGTATAGATCGAGAGATCTAAAAAAACTTGAAAATCTTGAAAATTGACGATCAAAAAGTGTATTACAAAATGTACTATTTCCAAAACTTGAATTTTATATTTTTATCATGTTCATACATCTTAATGTCGAGATGATTAGTTTGAGGATGTTTGGGCTAGTGAAAATTTTGAGATAGGCTCTGATTTGATGGTTTAGAGCCTGGTCTCTATATGAACTTTTTTCTTTTAGGAAGGGGAATGTAGCTTCCATTATGCATTAAAAAACTACTTACTATTTTAAAGAACGTGTAGGGGTTCGCCATCCCCATTGAATTTTTTTTTTCTTTTAATTTTTAATTTTTTTTTTTAAAAAAAACAACTGTTCACTTGACTCACTCCGTCATTACACAAAAGATAAGGTCACGTTTTGTCACTTTACTCTTCCATATATGCGTAACATTCGTCTCTTGACCAGCTGAGTCCTCTCTCTCTCGCCGGGAAAATGGTGAATTACTGGAGCGCCATTGCCTATGGAGTTGGGGGCATCGTATTTGCAGGTATGGCTTTGCTCGTTGCCTTGCAGGAGAAGCTCGTCTATGTCCCCGTCGTTCCAGGCCTCACAAAATCTTATCCCATAACCCCTGCTCGTCTTAAGCTCAAGTACGAGGATGTTTGGTTAACAGCTTCTGACGGGGTTCGGCTCCATGCTTGGTTCATCAAGTTCCTTCCAGATTGCAGAGGTAATGGCGTTTTTCTCCTTTTTGATCTGCAATTGAGTGTGAACTTCTCATTGTTTGTGTTTGTGTCCGTGGTTTTCTGTTGTTTGGGTGCTTGCTCACGACTGTAGATTGAGTGTTTAGGGTTAGGTTCAGAATTGGGGTTAGGGTTTTGGATTTTTCTTGTTTGTTTGTGGTTGTTTTTTGTTGTTGTTGTTGATGTGTAGTCTGATTGTATGCTTACATTTCACTTGATTTTCTTTTCCAATTTTTTTTTTTTTAATGAGTAATGTTTTGGAGCAATTGATTATTAATTTAAAGTTAGTACCAGAAGTGTTTCAGTATATATGGTCGATTCTCATGCTTCCATTTGATGGGGAAATTTTGTTAGAGGACTTGAATTTTCAGGAGGGCTAGTATTTTTCTTTGCTGTCTTCACTCTTATTTGCACGTTTCATTGTACTATACTGATTCATGAATGACTTACTGAATTGCATTGAATTAGGTCTCCACCGTAGTGTAGGATAATGCACGATTAGGTTTGCTCTATCCCTTTATGGCTGTATCTAATATCCTCTATGGAAGTTGTTTGTCTTGATTATTACAGTTTGTATATTGTAAATACAAAAATTTGTATTATGGGAATTGGAGATTGTGGTTTTGCAAAATCCATGTAGCCAATTGGGTTTTCGGAGGTGTGAGTAAACCATTGATATGGCGTGAATCTTAGGGAGAGAGATGCACCTTGTGCTTGGGAATCATGCATGTGTCCTATATCATGTATTTTGTGTGCAAGGAGTTATTTTACAAAAAAGGAATCATGCATGTGTCCTATATCATGTATTTTGTGTGCATGGAGTTTCTAAAATATTTAACTACTGAAGAAGAGGTCAGTTTTGTATTAGGCAGATGTTTCCTCTTAGGCAGGCACCTCATGATTAAGGCGCCCCAAAAGAGGTGAGCGGGTGTCAGGGGTGTTTCTTTTTTCACCTTTTATTTTTTTTGGGGGGGGAGGGGGGTCGGGGTGGGGATGTCTTTGGGGACTGTGGGGAGTGGGTGCCAAACCACTGCACCTTTGTCCCTTAGGCAGGTGCCCCTTCCATATGTGCCCTGTCTAGCCTAGGTGAGGTGCTTAGGGCCTCATTCCCTTTTAACACATTAGAAGAGATGACAATTGAGGGAGATTTTTCTCACTTGCAAATGGTCAAGAACTCCAACTGCAATCTGTAGAATTGTGTCTGCTTGCATTTGCAGGAGTTTTGGGAGCTGTTTGTGTGGTTTGATGTAGTTGCCGCAATAGATAGCTAAGGTGGGAAGCGTATAATGTATTTTTAAACATTTGTGAGTAATGATGTGCTTTTGCATATTTTTTTTGTTTTTTGTTTTGGGTAATTCAGTGGGGAAGACAGGTCCCTACCCGTTTTTTAATAGATTAGAGAGTTACATTTTGAAGGTGTTAAATTGGGGTTGTTAGCGGTAGGAATGGATACCATGATGTGGTAACTGGATGTGGGGATGCTACCACCACGACCCCAGCCCCTTTTCACAAATGAAATAATGCCAAATGTCATTATAAAATATGTTTATTAGCCTATTTCCTATGTGATATGTACAGGTTGCGCATTTGGAGAATGATATCATGTATCATGATTCCTTTAGGATCTTAGAAATTGCTTTAAGAATCCAAGTTGTGGAAAGTTGATTTGTGGTGAATGATTAGAGTACACAACATGTCTAGTTTCAACGATAGGATGGGCAACTCAATTCTTCATAAATGAGTCGGAAAAATGGTGGATACAACCCATGATTTAGTTGCTTTTGGACACAAAATCTCGATATTAGGGACCATGTGCAATTTCTTCTTGCAAATAACATGAAGGTCATGAAAAAGTTAAACTATAAGGTGATTCAAGAATATATAACATTTGTGCATATCTCTGAAATGAGATAATTTAACCAATTCATGGTGTTTAAGGGCACTTGTTGTTTCTTTGGTTAGGGAGAAGCATAATTTGTACTTATCATAGAAGTTGTTCTTGCTTCACATTCACCGTCATAGTTCTAAAATCCGGCCACATAGCCGCTTGAGAGGCTTCACCTCCCCCACTAAGCCTATGCCGCCCAGTGTGGGGCGGTGACCCTAGGTGGTCAACTAGTTGCCTACAGCACCACCTGGGCGGGCGTCTGTCCTGAGCCCTTATGTCAAGGGCAGAAATTGCCCTCGCCAAAAGGCCAGGGAATGTAATTTCCCCTTTAAAGGGAGGAAATAGTATTTGGGGGTCATTTTGGCTCCCCAAAACCTAGATAGCTCTTTATGCCCCAAAAATTACTTTCTAGTTCAAAATCAAATTTTTTTTTAAGGGTCGAATTCGGATTTGAAGTTTTTGATTCCTTGTGAAATCGAAAGGCATTTGACCTGGAACCTTTTGGAGATTAAAGTGGTTGCGAAGGAGAGCTTTTGGCAACTGAAAGTGACCTATTTAAGCCTACTTTGATTTTGTTATCAAAAGATTAGTAAATTTCATTGTTTATATTTAGGATTTCATATTTTTTCGTGCATTGTGTTGTGTTATGCTTTTTTATCATTTACTTATTTTTTATTTTGATGTTGTGCTTTACGTTAATGATGAAAGTTCTTGAGTGGGATTGTTTCCTTTTTTTTTAGTGTTTGCTATTACTGTGATTATAGTATATTTTTGGCTATAGTTGGCTATGTTCTAATTTATTATGCTAATTTGAAAATTTACATATATTTTTACCTAGCTTTGGTTTTGTTTCTAATTTATAATGCAAATTTGAAACCCAATTGGGCTCTTTTTGAGTTTATGATCATTAAATTTTATGTAATGTTTTAAATATTGTGAACTTCCGATTTTGGAAATTTGGAATGTGTTGAATTTTGAACTTTGAAGAAATATTTGAAATGCTAATGGATGTAAATTTTTGTTGCTTTTTATTTTGGCTTAAATGGCTAGTGCCTAATAGATGTAAACTTATATTGTGTGACTTTTAATTTTGGCTTAAATGGCTAATGGTTGTAAAATTTTGGGAAATTTCAAAGATTTGGTCTTGTAAACATGTAAATTTTAGTTTTAAATGTAATTTTTAGAATAGGTTAAATACTTTTGAAATTTGAAAACAACCTCCCCCCTCCTCACTTTTCTCTCTCTCTCTCTACACACAATGTCCGTCCAGGTTACTAGGTGGCTGCCACCGTTGTCTTGAACATTGTTCACCGTTTACAGCTCAATCATCTTATATCCTAATTCCTGAACTAGTTTGCTATTTAGTAAAATGCTCAATTGTCAACATTTGAAAGAAATTAGCCAGGGACAAGTTTGAAATTGTGAACTAGAAGGTTTTGTAGTTTGGATGTATGTGAAGGCATATAGTCCTAGACATATTTATTTCTGTCAAATTTCCTTGTTAATATGATGTGTTCAATGGATCTACAGTTTTTCTGTTTGGGTTCTCTTTTTGAATTACATTAGTTATCATCCAATGCCTTATGCCTATTTTTGCATGGCTTGCCTTTTTTTCTTCTTTGTAATGCTATTGTAGTTGATTCTTGCAGGTCCAACCATGCTCTTTTTCCAGGAAAATGCTGGCAGTATCCTGATGCTTTATATTGGATATGATTAAGTTGGGGCTTCGCTTTTTTATTATCAAAATATGTCTTGAGGTTCTATTTTCCTAAGGACAACCTTAACCATCATATTGCAGATATTGCCCACCGACTTGAGTTTGTTCGCATTATGCTGCAAAAATTGCAATGCAACGTGTTTATGCTATCATACCGGGGGTACTTTTTGAAATAGTCTTTTTGCTATTCTAGCTCAGCATTCTTTAATAAGAAACTGTTGAGTAATGTTTATGGCTTATATATTTGATTGAAACAAAAATATTATGCCCATCTTGAACAGATATGGGGAAAGTGATGGTTACCCTTCACAGCATGGCATTACCAGAGATGCACAGGTTTTGTTAAATTTATGTAGTCATTTACACTAATCAAGTGGTGCCTTTTGCGTCTTGATTCATGTCATGGAATTCATTGTTTGGGGTTATGCCTCTGGGCAGGCAGCATTAGACTATCTGTGTCAGAGAACTGATATCGACCCAACAAAAATAGTTATTTTTGGGAGATCTCTTGGGGGTGCAGTTGGATCTGTACTTGCGAGAAACAACCCTGACAAGGTGACAAATCTCTCTAGTCTCTTTTTATCTCTAATAATAGATCAAGCATGCTTTGTGTTTTTAATTCTTGCTATGCTCCAATTGCAGGTCTCTGCCTTGATATTGGAAAATACATTTACTTCTATACTAGACATGGCTGGAGTTGTACTTCCCTTCCTGAGGTGGTTCATTGGGGGAACAAGTAAAGGCCCAAAGGTTCTCAATTTCCTTGTCCGCTCTCCTTGGAATACTGTTGAGGCTATTGGTGAGGTAAAGCTACTGTCTCGTACTTAATAGAAGGTTTTTTTTCACATATATGTCACTATAAATTTAGAATCCTTTAAATTGTCTTTCTGCACTAGTTGAATTGTTTTTCCATAATATATATGCTTTGACACCCAACTGGAAATGTTGGCTCTAAAAATGGTCATTTTTGACTGGTGTCACCAGGCTCAATCATGCTTTCATGAAACTAAGATTTTGTATTACTAAAATGTAACACCTTTAACTACCCCCCCCACAAAAAAAAAACACATTTTACTGTGCAGCAATTACGTAACCTGTTAAGCTACTACGGGCTTTGCTTTTACTTAAGAAAACAGAGTGAAGGAACAGGGGTAGGGTGTTCTGTGTTTTTCCTTTTTTTGGTGGGGGGGAGAGGGTGGTTGAGCTGCTACTGGCATGCAAGGGAAAAACTGGAATATAAATTGAGTAAGTAGTTATGAGTTGAGGAATCTACCTTGGAAGACATGTGCTGCAAATACCTCTCCAACCTGAAAACCTTTTCCAGTTCCCAGGAACTTCGTAAAGAAATAACTGACAGGTGATTTTCTTCTGGGACTGTGTTCCAAGGAATTTGTTGGGAGTTCTTATCTTTAAAGTTGTTCTTTGTTATTAGGGATGAATTAATATTGTGGTCTTCAATATTGGAAACTGGTCTGTTGAACTCCCTGTTAGTTATTTGTGATCTTATGCAAGGTTAAAATTTTGGTGTTGGCACTGTCCATTAGAATAAGAGAAGTATGGCATCAGGTCATTTAGCCACCACAGGGACCTTTAACACAATATTGCATCAGGTCATTTCACCGCCACAAAGGACCTTTGTCAAAGATAGAAAAATTTAGATAAAGGAATAAAGAACGCATATGCACCTACAAAGTAAACTTGGAAAAAGTCTACCATGCAGATTGTGATTTCCTTGATGAGGTCATGAGCATGATGGGCTTTGGACAAAGATGGACGTCTTGGATTAACGGATGTATGTTTATGTGCTTCTCAGTGCTAATCAATGTTACACTTCATGGACTTTTCCATAGTAAGAGAGTTTTGAGACAAGGAGAGCATCTGTTTCTGTTTGCGATCACTGCTGATGCATTTAGCAGAATGTTGGAGATGGCGTATTATAGCTGCTGGTTGAAGGGATTTAGAGTATCTCTAAGTAGCCTGGTAATTTCGCATGTCTAGTGCACTCACAGCATAATAATTTTCTCTAAGCCATTGAATGAGCAGTTGAATGGTTTGTGGTTATTGCGAAGTGTTTTGAGGTAGTCCTGTTATGAAAGTGAACTTGCAGAAAAAAGAACTATTAGGCATACATGTGGAAGAAGAAATGCAATGACTTGCATCTTGATTTGAGGGCGGCATAGTTGAATTGCCTTACTCTTCTTGGGGTTGCCAATGTGCATTAGTAAACCAAACAAAGCCCTACAGAGTGGTTTCATGAAGAGTTTGGAGGGAAGGCTGGTTATGTGGAAGAATGAATACCTTTCCTTGGTAGAAGCTCTTTGATCAAGGCTACCTTAGCCAATCTTCCAGTGTATGGAATGTCATTGTTTAAAGCGCCCATTGGCATGGTCAATAGAATTGAGAATATTTGAAGGGAATCAATATGGACAGGTGAAACGGAGAAAAGAGAGTATGGTTTGGTCAGATGGGGGATGGTATGTTTCACACATCAACAAAGGAGGGATTGGTTACACTAAATTAAGCAAGCTAACAAAGTGTTGGTATGTAAACAGTGTAGGTTTGGAAATCAAGATGATCACCTGTGGTAGCAGGACATGGTTTAAGGTCTTGATAAGCGTGGATGACTTCCGAATGCAACAAATTCCTTAGAAGGGACATTAGGTGCTTGGAAAAGCATATGTGGGGAAGAACAAAACTTCACCAAACAGCTGAAATTTAAAGTTGTAAGCAGCAGGAGAATTAGATGGGGGGCCATCTATGGTTGGATGGCACAGCTTCTAAGAATAATTTTTGAGCCTATACCTATAGTTTCCAAACCAGAAGGCACGGTGGCACAAGCACCATGAAAGGTGAAAGGTTGAAGCATCTGTACATTAACTTCCATTGACAATAGAAGATAAAGAAAATGAAGTCATGGCAATGTGTCAACACCATACTCTCATTCCCAGCAGGGCGATGACAGGCTGATTTGGAGTCTAAAACAGATGAGTCACTCTTAAATCCTTTTTCTCTGTATTAGTAGGGGCTTTCAAAGACCAAACCTATAGTGGTAGGGAGCAAACTGTGGAGCATTCTGGCCTTGCAAAAGATACAAGTTCTTTTATGGCTGGGCATAGCTGATAAAGACCTTACTTTGAACTACCTGATACATAAGGAATACTGATACGTGATTGCTGCATCATGCGAAACAAGAAGAAGAAACAATACATCACCATTTTATACATGCCATGTAGTGGTGGGAATGGGTTGGAGTGGGTTCGGGTTGAACCCGACCCTGGCCCAACCCGACTAGGTCTAAGCTAGACCTGGGCCTGACCTGCACCCGGTGCGGTTCAGGTCGGTCCAAGTCAATTAGACCTGGAGTGGGTCGGGTTGGGTCCTGGCCTATAAATAAAAAAATATGTAAAAAATTGTTTTATATATTTTATCTACATAATTAGTATTATTTATGTGTAATTTGTACTAATATATTCAGGCTGGGTTGGTCCCGACCCGAACCCGGAGTTGACCTGATATGATCCATGTTGGGCACGGACCCAGACCCGGTAGGGTAAAGGTCAAGTGAATCCAGACCAAACCCAACCTAGTCGGGTCAAGCACTGCTTATTTTTCATAACTCTCTCTCTCTCTCTCTCTTCTTATTTATGCCTGTAGCTATCAACAACGAAAACGAGAAGTGGAAGGGAAGAGATAGAAACCTTTTCAGGAATCCCCTTACGCTTCTAGCTATAAGATATATATAATAGTAAGATATTATATAATAGTACATTGTATTAAAACTTATGCCATGTAATGTGTAAAAAATATAACGAAATAATTGTAGAGTATATAATATACAATATTACTATAATAAATGAATAGTACATATAAAATATTCGGGTCGGGCCGGGGCGGGTTGACTCATGCCAACCTTGACCCGACCCAACCCAGCCCGATGTCGGGTCCCTAATTCTGGACCCGAACCCGACCCATTGGGTCCAAAGATAGGACCCAAACCAGGATCCAAGCAGGGGCAACGCATCGGGTTGGTGGGTCGACCCAACCTATTACCCACACTTAATGCCATGTTGTTAGATGGGTAATAGGTCTCAAGCTTATACTCATTTGATTGAGTATGGGTTATGCTGGAGATGATAGAAAGTTTATTTTAACAATGATGCTCCCCACCACTACTGAACTTCGGATGATGGTTATGGACTATGGAGATTCTAGTCCTCACCAACCCATGGTTGATATGGCTCGAAAGGAGCATGAGAACCTTCCAAAACAATTGTCCAAGTATCACCTCACTTGTGACCAAAATTAAGGAGATGACCATCTTTTGGATGTCTAATACGAATACCAGTCATCTGACTTCATAAATCAGTGGAAGACAATTGCAAGTTGTGAAATGAATAGTATGAAAAGCTTGACTAGGTGGTTCCCCCCCCCCCCCTAAAAGTTCTGTGACATTATATTTCAATGGCAGGGCCATGAAAAGTTTAGGGAGCGCAAGAGTTTTCAGGAGCATGGAGGTGCCTTTTTTTTTTTTGGAAGTGTTCACTTTTGTATTACTAGGGAGAGAGAAAAGAGTACAAAAAATGGCCCTCCTGATGCGGGTGAGCGTATACAACAACGAACTACGGGGTCCCAAAAAATGCTATACAAGCAATAATACAAACAAGATACAATAGGCGTTTAGAGCTCAAAAAGTTGCTCAAGAAAGTGGGAGTCCGACTGTTGTGGGATGCCTTCCTCAGCAAGGGGGTTGACTGCATTGTTGGCCTCCCTCCAGATGTGCCAAAATACCACGGATATAGCCCTGCACTTTGTGAAACAAGACCTGGACGGTTGAAGATTCACTTATGAAAATCCTGCTATTCCGCTCCAACCAAATCACCCAGAGAATTGCTGGCTTGCTGCTACCGAGAGGCGCCAAAGGTAGATATCGTGCTTGGTCTAGAAGGGCTTGGTTGTTGAGCCTCAAGTTGCGGATGCCCAAACCTCCTAGGGATTTGGGGGTACACACCCTGGCCCAAGAAGTGAGATGATATTTGTTGTCCCCTTCACCAGACCAGAGAAGCTTTCGCATGAGTTGCTCGAGGCGGTTCACGATTGAGGCTGGCATCTGAAATAAGGACATCTGAAAGATATGGATGTTGGCGACAATTGCTTTGATGAGGCTGAGGTGGCCACAGGGGATAGAAATATGCCCTTCCACCTGCCAGGCGGCAATCAAATCTATCTACAATATGGCTCCACTGATTGGCTTTGGGTTTGCCAATACATAAGGGTAGTAAGTAGAGGGCAAAACTTCAGTCTTACACCGCAGAATGTTTACTAGGACAAGAAGGGTCTAGGATTCCACAGCAATCCACATTAACTTGGTTTTGTCTAGGTTAGCCCTGAAGCCAGTACTGAATTCAAAACATTTGAGGAAAAGCTTAAGGTTATGGATTTGAGAAGGGACTACATTGAAGAACAGTAAGGTGTAGTCTGCATATTGGAGGTGGGATACTACCGTTTCTCCTTTTCCCACCTCAAATCCTTTAAGAAGGCCAGCTCTACATAACCCCGAGATAGATTAGCTGAAGACTTAAGCAGTGCTGGCGAAGAGGAAAGGGAATAGAGGGTCGCCTGTCTTAGGCCTCCAGAGGAGGGGAAGAAGCCTCTACGAGAACTGTTAATAAGGATATAGAAGTACGGACTGGAGATGCACACGGAGATCCATGGGGAGCATTGAGGTGTTGTGAAGGAGAATTCCTTTTAACATTCATGGGCCACCAAGGTGAAGGCGATGTTAGTCAATTGGAGGCTTAAGTGCTATTAATTGGTTTGTGAAACTTGATGCTGGTGAGGAACTTCATTTTGATTGAAGGAGAATCTGCTAACATGATTGTATTGGCAACAAAAAAAGCTTCCTGTTTCTAGTGTAGATTTTTGAAGAGATCGTCCACATTTGCTTGGAAGTGAATCTTTTGTTTCAAATACACCTGGTGACTTCGCTGACTCATTGGCAAGAGAAGCTAAGGAATTGGCTGACTCAAATACGACTGGTGAGAAGCTGATGACTTGGTTGACTCATTGGCAAGAGAGGGAACTTCTCATTCATAACCCATTGTTATGACCATTTGAGTGTTGTGGGAAATACTCGATCATTTTGTTAGTCGTTATTTAAGTACAAAGATACACACAGTGTACATACCATTAATGAAGTAAAGTTAACGACCCCCAACTCCCCCGGAAAAAATTTTTTTTCATAAAAACAAAAGAAATTATGAGCTTCATTATGGGTAATAATGTTGATGCTCTCTCTTTCTCTCTCTATCTATCTCTCATTCATGCAGGTTTTTTATGGTTTAACGTTTTTCTTATTATTTGCAGATCAAACAGCCAGTTCTATTCTTATCTGGTTGCAAGATGAGATGGTTCCTCCATCTCATATGAAAGTGCTTTATGAAAGTGCATCCTTGATAAATTCAAGGTGTCTATTTGTTGAATTTCCAAGTGGCATGCACATGGACACTTGGTTGTCCGGTGGGGATCGCTATTGGAGAACGATTCAGCTCTTCTTCGACCGATATCTCTTAGAGAATCAAGAGAGTGACTCGAACCGAACAGATGACACAAAGAATGGTATGAGATCGTAACTTTATTAGAAACATGCCTTTGAACCCTAACTTTTGTGCAGTAAGAAAACATTTTCTATAGGATCTTTTTTGGAAATAATGTTTGTCCTTGAAGTCACAATATGTTATGAATCTGGATTGAATGTAGAATTCTTTTTTTAATTTATACAAACTCCCATGCTTAGTTCTCAAATAGACCAGTAAGGAGATTTTTTCCCTTTTGATTCTGATAATTGTTGGTTCCTTCAGCTTTCTGCCCAAAAAAAAGAAAAAAGATCAAAAAAAGAATTATAGTCGTGACTTTTCTTGTGAACGTTTTTTTTTGAGATTTTAACTAAAAACACTGACAGAAAAATGACTAAGGAAATAAAAATGACAAACTTCTGCAACCAACCTTAACTATTAGGAGGTTTTCTGCTACAGTAAAATATCTTACCTGTCTCTTTGAGTTCTCTAATTTGGTGGATACTGGATGATTGAAAACTTTTATTGCTGAATAAAATCATTTTGGACCCTGTTTCTATGCGGGCAAGCCTGCATATGTAGAAATGCAGGCCGCTTGATAAATCTATTTTTGAGTTGGATTTTAAGACTTAATTTTTAAGGACATGTAATCTCTAACATGGACATCATGAATATGAATAAATAAATAAATTTTAAAAACTAGAAATGATAATTCTAGTAAGAAAACATTTGGATTGTTAGTTTCCATTGTTTTTAGATGGAACACCTACTTGCATCTATCTTTAAGATGGATGCTTTACACTTTCTAGACCGCATATGTAGAAATGCAGTCCAGCCAGCATGAAACAATTTTCGAATCATTTTTGATGTTCTTAGAACTATTGTTATTTTAGATATGCTTAGGAGGTATTGAGTTTATACTGATTTGAAACATCATCGTGTCAGATACTTAGGCGATTTGATAACTGGTGATTTTAAGAAGATGAGTGTTCACAACCCGGTCCTAAAGTTTGAGCCTCTTGCAGAGTAAATGCTAAGCATGGGATGCGGCCTTTTGAGTAACATGCCTCTCTATCTCTCTCTCTTGTTTTATAGTTTTCCCATTACTGAGGTGGGAAATTAAGACGGCTTTAAGCAGCCAAACATGTCTGTGGAACCCGTGCTACTTGAAAGTCTGAAAAATGTGGAATACAAATTTGCTTGATTCCTGCCTGATCAAATACTAAGAAAGTTTGGTTGAAGTTGAGATTATGGGCTTCTTGATTTTTGTAAAGGAAGCATGAGGTTGCATTTCTATTGCCAAATTCTCTATAGAAGAGAGAGACGTCATTTTGGCTACGTTCTCCGAGAGAGGTTATTTTGGCTAAATTTTCCTCAAGCCTTCTGGCTCTCTCTCGAGGTCTAGAGAGAGAGAGGTCATTTTGGCGACATTATCGTAGAGGCTTGCACACGTAGAGAGAGAGAGAGAGGAGGGGGAGGGGCACTTCGGCAACATTATTCGAAGTCTCATATTGCACTAGAGAGAGAGAGAGAGAGAGAGAGAGAGAGAGAGGGGTCATTTTGGCCCTTTCCTACTATGAGAGGCTCTTCTCTCTCATGGATATTATTTTAATCTGGCTAAAAAGGAAGCGGCCAATGCTAACGTGGGTGGCTGCCTCCTGTTGTGTATTTTGTTTTTAATAGGGCCAAAAGTGGCCGATACCTATTCCTGTGGGTTGCACTCTCTCTCTCTCTCTCTCTGATCCCTCAATTGCAGCTGTTTCTAATTTTCTCTCTCAAGGTGGCACTATTTCTTACATTTCAATGACATTAAATTGGAAATGGCTAATTAAAGAAAATTGGAAGTGGCTAATTAAAGAAAGGAAATGTATACAACGAAACAATTTATTCTTGATACAAAAAGTTTACAATCATCATTAACCATTATATTTGAAATTGATTGGTTGATGTATTGTTGTTTGAGTCTATAGTCTAAAATAAAATATCTTGAATGTTGTGATATTTTTTTATTTATTAGATTGTAGTCTAAAAGTGATTGGGATATCTGTTTATAAAAAATAAATAGTCTCATATGAGTGGAGTAAAAAACCCATTTTAAAAAAAGAAGGAAAAAAGATAATGGGCCTGCAGTAAACGGGTGGTGTAAAAATGGGCAGTATACGAGTGTGAGTAAAAATTGTAACAATTTTGTGCAAGTAAATTGAGACCATTATTCCAAATGAAGTGAGACATAGGAATGCGTAAGGAGCGAGTGAATGGAGAAAATGTTTGTGAGGGAACATGAAATCTTTTTACATCATACAAATTTGAAGATAGGAGTGCATGGAGCATAGTTAATAGCTCCCATGGTTTAAGATATTTTATCAAGGATTGGTTAGGTTGGATTGTGGACAGTTATATTTCGTTTAGAGAAATACTTTGTACTATTTCAAAATAATATTTACTAAAAAATCGAGTCCCCACCGATTCGAACTCCGGTGGCCAAGTGACGAGGGCATGGTACTAAAATTATGGCAAAACGGCTGAGTAACGGTTGGCACCAATTTGATTTGATCAGGCTTGACCTTCTTTTTCTCGGGGCTTGAGCTGCCTTTGGGCTAGACTAGGGCTGATGTCGGTCTGATTCGGCCTCGGCACTCTTTTTTATATTTTAAAGAAGTTATCATAAGTATATTTTAATTTTTTACGGATTAAAAAAAAACTTTCAATTTTTATAAACTTCGAACACAAAATTTTTTTTTGCAGTTTTCACATTTAAAAAATATTTCGATTACCACAACATTTAAAATGCCATATAAAATGAGGTAGTAATTACGATACTTAAAACACTGTACCATAATGCTAACGCTTCACAATATTACGACTATTGTGAATGTTATTTTGGTTAAAAAAATATATATATAAAAAAAAAAGGATTAAATTTGTAAAAGTTGAGAGTTTTTTTTTTTCAATTATATAAAAATAAATATATATTTTTGATAATTTTTTTATTTTTTATTTAAATTTGACCCGGCCCAACGTTAACAGGGCCAAGCGAGACGCCTTAGATTACAGTAGCGTATCAAAACGCCGGAGCCAATTGACAACTTAGGACCTGGAGACATTTAAAAACAATAGCTCCGTGGGTGGAATACTAATAAAATGGGTGGCACAACTATATCACCAATAGAAATCTACCCCGCGCATCGTACGTACCGCCCGCCACCCCCCACGTTTTGCCCTTTCGCCTCCTCGACTGGACCGTCACTCCCCTCCCGGCCTTTTTCTCTCTAAAAAATGGCCCCCTCTCTCTCTCTGTCTTCAAAAGGCCGCTGCTCTCTCTGCAACTTAAAAAAGGCTCCTCTCCATTCCTAAGTTTCCCTCTCCTCTCTCCCTCCCTCAACCTTGTGTCTCTCCCATCTCTCTCTTGCTTCCTGCGTCTCTCTCTCTTCTTTGAAGATAGGTAATGGAGGCGGCTACGCTCTCGCGCATCGGCCTCGCAGGCCTTGCGGTCATGGGCCAGAACCTCGCCCTCAACATTGCCGAGAAGGGATTCCCGATCTCCGTGTACAACCGAACCACTTCAAAGGTCGACGACACGGTCCATCGTGCCAATGCCGAGGGGGGCCTCCCCCTCTTCGGCCACCGCTCCCCACAGGACTTCATCCTCTCCATCCAGCGGCCCCGCTCCATCGTCATCCTCGTCAAGGCCGGGAGACCTGTTGACCAGACCATCGAGACCCTCTCGACCTTCATGGAGCCCGGGGACTGTTTGATTGATGGAGGAAACGAATGGTATGAGAACACCGAGCGGCGCATTGAGGAGGCATCTGCCCGTGGCCTCTTGTATCTCGGCATGGGCGTGTCGGGTGGCGAGGAGGGAGCTCGCAATGGCCCCTCACTGATGCCTGGCGGATCGTTTGATGCGTATCAGAATATCAGAGATATTCTTGAGAAGGCGGCTGCGCAGGTATCTGATGGGCCTTGTGTTACTTATATAGGACCCGGGGGTTCAGGCAATTTCGTTAAGATGGTGCACAATGGGATTGAGTATGGTGATATGCAGTTAATCTCTGAGGCCTATGATGTTTTGAAGCATGTTGGTGGGTTGAGTAACCAGGAATTGGCTGAGATTTTCGAGGGGTGGAATAGGGGGGAGCTTGAGAGTTTCTTGATTGAGATCACCTCTGATATATTTAGGGTTAAGGATGGGTTTGGAGAGGGGGACCTGGTTGATAAGATCTTGGATAAAACTGGGATGAAGGGGACCGGGAAATGGACGGTTCAGCAAGCTGCTGAGCTCTCCGTGGCTTCACCCACAATCGCAGCTTCGCTCGATTGCAGGTATCTCAGTGGGTTAAAGGAAGAGAGAGAAGTGGCATCAAAGGCTTTTTCGGAGTTTGGGTTGAGTGAGGTCTTGGCGAGGCCGGCGGTCGAAAAGAAGAAGCTCATTGAAGATGTGAGGCAGGCTTTGTATGCCTCGAAAATTTGTAGTTATGCTCAAGGGATGAACTTGCTTCGAGCAAAGAGCATTGAGAAAGGGTGGGGGCTAAACCTTGGTGAACTGGCAAGGATTTGGAAGGGTGGGTGCATTATAAGGGCTGTGTTTTTGGATAGGATAAAGAAGGCATATGAGAGGAATCTCGCTCTCCCGAATCTTATGGTGGACCCTGAATTTGCTAGAGAGATGGTGCAAAGGCAAGCGGCTTGGAGGAGAGTGGTGGGTTTGGCAATTGAGGCCGGAATCAGTACACCTGGTATGAATGCGAGTTTGGCTTATTTCGATAGTTATAGGCGAGGGAGGCTTCCTGCAAATCTTGTGCAGGCACAGAGGGACTTGTTCGGGGCTCACACTTATGAGAGGATCGATAGGCCAGGCTCGTATCATACTGAGTGGACCAAGCTCGCTAGGCAGAACGAGGCAGGTGTGGGTGCTCTTAACTGAAGTAGTTGGTAAGAGAGAGAAATAAATGTTTTGTTTGTCGCATGCTTCATTGTGCCTTGGTCTTGAATGTGGCTGCAATTCTGTCTTTCTTTTTTCTTTTTAATGTTATGGGACTCTGCATGGGCGTTCGAATCTCATTTTTGCGTGGCAGGTTCGGAACAATGTGCTTGATTTGATGGTTTGAATAATGAGAATTAGTGTATGGTTTCGGGGTTTCTTCCGGAGCTGTAGTTTATGTATTTTAATGAATTGCTCCAGAATTTAGAGGAGATAAGAAGGATGTTTTCGCTGTTCTTTTTCCTACATCTGTGACTGTTTTTGCTATTCGATTGCCGTCTGTGTGCTTTGGTTTACATTGCCTTCTGAAGCAATTGTTACTCGCTCTTGTTGAATGATGTGCTCCACATATATGATCTTTTCGAAAATGGATTTAATTCTTTTTTTTTAGTTTCTTTTTTCTTTCTGTTATTTTAAATAGGTGGTACTCATTTATTTATTGACAGTTAAAGGTTCATTGGATGAGGTGGATTTTCTCCATAATCTGATTTAGTTGTGTTATTACATGATGCGGTTTTCTCCATAATCTGATTTAGTTATGCTATTACATGACAGGGTTCCCCAGAGACAATTGCATAAATTAATGAAGCCAAAACTGCCAAATGCTTAGACAGAATGTAATGAAATTCACTAGGATCAGTGGATGATTTTTTGTACTATTCTGCCAGTATAGTTCTTTTTGGAATATTCATTCCGAATTTCTGTTCATTCATCTTTTCAGAATTTTGACTTAATGAAGTCATTTGCAAAGATATATATAACTAAAACACTAATTCTAAAAAAAAGAAGTGATATATCTTTTGGGACCAAATAATAAATTTCATGTACAATATGATTGCAGTCCGTGTTTCAAAAAGCGCTAGGCGGCACCCAGGCGGCCAAGGGGGTCCAGGTCGCCTAGGCGGGCACCCAGAACCTATGCGGCCCAGTTGATTAAAAAAAACTGATGAGTGATGGCTGATAATGATTAATCCATAAGAATTTTGATAAGGGAAAAGTTTATGAGGCTCTAAACAATCACATTTGAGCCTACCTAAAAAATTTCACTATACAAGATTGTTTTGATGCCCAAAATCCTCAAATTGATCATCTTGACATCAAGATGCATGGACATGATAAAAAAATTGATTTCAGGTTTTGGAAATAATGTATTTTGTAATGCATTTTTTGACCGTCAATTTTCAAGACTTTCAAGTTTTCATAGATCTGTCGATCTACACCATTTTTGAAGCTTTAAACTTTATAAATAAATATTAAAATATATTGTAAGGCTATCACAAAGATTTCCAGTGTTGAAACTACATACCTCGACATTATTTAAAGGTAGGCTCTATACAAACCACACCCTTTTGATAATCCATAAGAATTTTGATAATCCATAAGACTATAATCCCAGTTAGAAAAAAGAGATAGAAGTCGAGAAGAGAATTTTGATAATCTATAACACCATAATCCATATTTTCATACATTGCTAAAACAGTAAAACTATACAAGCATACACTGATATATTGATACACTGTAGACGGTACACACAGAAGCTAGATAGTAGAACTAGAAACTAAAAATAAGAAAAAAATATATATATAAATTCAGAAAATATACAGTCTAGGACACAATAGTCAACACTCAACACCAAGAGTCTTCACTCTTCCGTCATCATCATCATCATCAGAAGGAATATGGTAAGCTTCATCATATGCATCAGAATCGAGGCCATCATCATCAGAGTCATAACACTCGTCCTCCTCTGTTTCTTCTGAATCTACCTCGTCCTCCTCTGTTTCTTCTGAATGTACCTCTTCTTCTTCTTCTTCTTCTACCTCCCTCTTACTAGTATGTGTAGATGAGGCCCTAAGAGTCTTGGTTGCTCTACACTTTTCTATCTTTTTGTGCTTCACTGAACTCAAATATTTCCTCCCTGGTAGTCTGAGGAACATTTTTATACGGGGCAACATCCCCTTTAATACCGGCAAGGTATTTTTTAAACCGGTAAATGCCCCCATTAGCATCATTTCCACAATAATATAACCATATTTTCAACTCGGATCACCACTTCTATAAGAACCTGGAGAAGATATTTCCACAGAACAAGGCTCATTTTCATCATTTTCTGGTTCTTTTAAATTCAGAAGTTATCTAATGACATCCCGAACAGCTTAAGGAACCTTTTTACAAGAAGCAACATTCTTTTTAATATCGGCAATATGTTTCTTGAATCGGTTAATACCCCCATTGGTATTTTTTTCACAAAAATTACGCCTTATACAATTTTTATCGTTTGGTTTTGGGTTATAGCCATACTTCCAACCCGGATCACTTCTTTTAGAAGTAGCAGAAATAGACCTATTCAAATGACAAGGATTTTGTTCCTGTTTTTGTTTTACAGAACTCATATATTGCTTAATCTCCTCTCTGATAGCTTCAGGAACATTTTTACAAGGAGCAACATCCCTCTTAATACCGCCAAGATGTTTCTTAAACAGGTTTATATCCCCTTTTGTATCTTTTTCACAAAAATTGCATCTAATACAATTTTTGTCATTTGGATTCAGGTTATATCCATATTTCCAACCCTGATCTCCACTTCTACTAGATCCTGAAGAAGACACCTCAAAGAAAACAAGTAATCTAAAACATAATTTTTTGCACTTACTTTGATTGCTCGAACTCCAAACTCCCACATTTGAGATGTTTTCTGGTGCTAAAATAATAAAGAACACTATTTAATAGGATTATACAACTCTAAAACTAAATCAAATCTACCTGGGTGATGTTTGGATCCGTTTTCAAAAACGTTGAGAAACACTTCGATCTAATGAAAGTCAGAAAATTTAGTTTTCTTGAGGTTTCTTTCTCTCTAAAATGGGTTCTTGTGGGTTTAGGTTTGAAATGAACCTAAAACCCATCCTTCAAACCCTTTATGTGTAAAAAAAAATCAATACAACGAAAAAAAAGAAAAATTCCGCCCCTAGGCAAAGGGCAGACTCTGGGTGCCGCCCAGGGCTGGGCGCCTGCCTAGGGACTGCCGCTCAGTTTGGCTGCCTAGGCCTGGGCAATGCGTCGAGGCCTTCTGGACCGCCTAGGCGCTGGGTGGTCCGCTTTTTTGAAAACTGATTGCAGTTACAAGGACCTTTATCGCACAAAACCTTAATTGGTGGTATATGGGGATTGGCCAAATCACCTTTTGCGAAATTACCAGGTATTTGAAGTAACTTGGTGGCAGCTGAAGTAGTGGATCTCTTCCTGGTGGCACAAAACCTCAATATCATCATGTCTCTTGTTTGTGGATCCCTTCCTAAAGCAGTGGGAGCACCCCCCTTAGTATGTAGCCTTTACTCGATTTTTTAGAGCTAATGCTGTGGCTTTAGATACTTTTAATTGTGAATACTTTGCATACTGAAATCCTTCAGGGTTTCATATCAATCTCAAAACATTTCAGCGACCTCTCTTTTTCTGTGGATAGATATGCTTTTCTTTATTTTGATTAGCCCATTCTTATGCTTAAAAAGGAGCTGGTGACTGTGTTTATTGTATAGAAGATAGTGCAGGAATATTTGAAATATTTTCTTATCAAAAAGACAATATTGGAGATATTGAAAGCGTCAAGAAGAATGAAAAGTAGAACCTGGCCATATGTTTTATTCATTACATAATATAATGTGCTATTAGGCAAGTATCTTCTGTAGGTAGTGTTAACCATGAGTAAAACAGAACAATCGGAGGGAAACAAAAGAATAGAAAAATGACAGAAATGCCTTCTAAAGGTATTACACGAATATACTTGTAAAACTTTTGCATGGATGCATTTGTATGAAAGTTGACCTCAAGAGTACTTGATTGGGCCTCTCCTGTTCCATATTTCCAGCACATCCTTCCATATTCTGGTTGATGGTAAACTCATATCTCCAATCTCTTCCATATTTCTTTACCTTGGCTATGGAAGCCCAGTCTGCAATGGTTTGTCAAGGCCCTCAATCATCACTAGTTGACTCTTTTTGGATGCCCAAGAATGGATTAATGAGTTTCTATACCCAAAATTTTATTTTTTGTCGATAATGGGCTGAAGGTCAGAATAAGATGTACTGTTTGCAACTCTAGCGATTAATGCATTTGGATGACGAGGTCATGTAGGTTTTGAGACAGTATATAAGGTTTTTGTGTGTTTTTGACTTAGAGAGAGACATCTCAAGAGAGCCCTCTTTTACCTTTGGGAGATGCATGGTGAAACCGTTGATCATCTTTACTCGTAGATGTAGTCATATCTATGATGGACCATATAAAATTTGGTATTCTTCTATGTTATTTCATTTTGATTTGTTTGCTTTGTGATTGTTGTTTTTTGTGGCTATTTATTTTCTCAATTTTCACATTATCATCGACTCATCTAGTTGGGTTTTTTGGGACAACAGGGGGTCCTTCTAATTCGTGTGTTTTATCTTTGGCAACAATGGTTGCTTTGTTCTAGAGAAATAAGGTACCCTTTTTGGTAACTCTAAACTCATCAAAAGGAAGGGGACTACTTGGAAGGTCCATTTCTCATAATGTTGTAGAAACGTCCAACAATGTGAGTTCCAATGTCACTATTAAGAGAATTTCAGGGAGCCAATATCATCATATTTGGAAATGAAAAAGATAAGGGGTGTGGTTTGTATAAGATTAAGGCCCTAATGGGTCGTTTGGGAATTGGGACCTATCTTTAGGAAAACCTGGTTTTAGATATCTTGGTTTTGACCCTGGTTGGGTTGTTTGGATCTGTTTTGATCGATCAAGACCTGCTTTGGCTAATCCTCAAAAGCACCCAAAACGAGCTTAGTCTCATTCCAGAAAAAACCTGGAATGAACATATCCGAGAATTGCAAAATCGTAGCGCTGGTCTCGTGATCCACGCCGCCCATTGATATCCACTCAGGCCTATCATGTTCTCTCTCCACCTCCAATTTCTTCCCCAAGCCATTGCACCTCTCGCCCGCACCTTTCCACCATTGAAGCTCACTGCCCATCGTGATTCTCGACCAACACCAGAAATCAATCCGCCATTAACAGACGTGCATTTCCTACTGTTGTTGCTGGATTTTTTTGAAGAAAAAAACCTCCATCAAGAAGACTCATTTGTGTGACTTTTGTAGATCGGTAAGTACAAATCCTTCTCCCGATTTCGTTTTTGTGGCTTATTTTTGTAATTTTCCATCTACTAGTTGGTTAGGATTCTTTATTGTAAATCACAATTTTTCTCCCCTTATTCATGTTGTTCTTTGCAACTATTTCCTCAGTTGATTGGATGTTATTCTGGTTTTGATTACTATCTGCAAATACGGATAAAACCAACTGAATAAGACATATGAGTTCGTCTGATGTAGTCAATGCTAGTCCGGTTTGGCTTCAATTTGTTGTAATTTCTATACCCCACAAGTTTTTCTATACTCCACAAATTCTTCTCATTGTTTTTTTTTTTTGTAATAATTTTTGGTCACAATCATGCTCAAGATGCATATGCTACAATATATCGCACCAGATCTCATTGTTTTGTTTGTGATAATCAATCCGCCATTAACAGATGCTGGCCAGCTGAGGCTCGCTTCTGCCTTTAATAGAATTTTTGATAACATGCCTTGTTTAACTAAATGTGTTTGGTATACTCCACTTGAAATGCAATAGAAATAACAAATTGAAGCAGTTGTGATGAATTGAAGCAGTTGTGATGTCAATATAAAAAAACAGCAAGGTTCCTTTAATACCTTCTCTCTCCCTCCCCTCCCTCTCTCTCTCTCTCTCTCTGTATTATGTCAATATATAGAAACAGCAATTTTTCTTCCTCTCTGTATTACAGGATTCATCTACTCATCCATTTTCATCACCTTCTTCTTTGAAAGTTCACAATCAACTAACTCTCTTGTTCCCATAAATTCTCATCCTCTATTCATTTCAGTGCTAACACAGTTTTTCTTATGGGTTATTTTGGTTTGTTTTGAATTACACTTTGTTTGCAGTTGCCTCACACGTTCTTCATTTTTATCTGATGAATCTGTCTTTGTTTTGTTAATTTATGCTTGGAAATTATTTCAATCTCTACTTTGTGCTGTACTGTGGATTTTCTGGTTCTATTTTGAGAAACAAATGCATTTCTTGATTCAGTCTCTGTTGTTTTTATATATCTATCTATCTATCTATATATATATATATATATATATATATATTTTATCAATGAAGAAGATGCTTATTTTTTTTTGGTATGCTTTATTTTGGTAATGGAACGGAAAATTTGATTCTACTTTGTTGCAAGCAGGTTGAGGAATGCTGCCTTTGTCGATTTCAAGGATGATGTTTTGGCTTCTCAAGCACACGACTCAACAGGTGCTTTTAGGGGTCCCATAGGTATTTTTGTGTTTTTGGACCTTATTACATTTGAAATATTTGTCTCATTTCTTTTCTGTATAGTCACTTTATGTAGAAAGTTTTGCAACATCAATTGAAGGAAAATGCGGTCCAGATATTGAGGACTTCTGGTAAAGTAATTTTTTAGGGAGATCTTAAAGTTTTGCAACATCAGTTGGAGCAAAATGTGGTCCAGATATTGTGGACTTTTGGTAAAGTTTTTAGGGAGATCTTAGGACATAGGTAAAACCATGTTCTTTTGTTTGCTTCAATTTGTTTAACAACAAAAAATTTGCGTATGGGTGGAGGTATAGATTTAGAATATTTAAAAAAATCTTCCAATAGAAGCTTGTCTTTCCTTGGTAGCTCTTTATTTGGTTGTTCTCTGTTGGGATCGTTTGCTCTCTCTTTTTCTTTGTCCATGTTAATTTTGAGCTTATCTTTTAGGTTTAATTTTTAAGTTGTGCTTGCTTTTATGTTGTTTTCACGTTTTTGATGTCTATTTCAGTTTCTTTTCTTTTTATTTGATTTAGAGGCATTTGTCAACATGATTAGTTTCGTCTGTAGAGGCTTGGAACCTAGCCTTTTATGTGGAGCTCTCTTTTTCTTTTACTTTAAGCACTGTTGTTAATTTCTAGAAGCAGGTTCTTTCTGGCAGTAAGTTTCTTTTTCATCAATATTTGCAAATAAGTGCTCTGAGCTTGTATTTTGAGTTATTGGTACTTTCCTTTCATGCTTTGAATATGTAATGCAAGTAGACATTTCTTGGGAAGGTTATATCTGTTGAGAGAGCAAGCACGTTGGCAGCAAATAAGAAGCAGAGAACTGAGGAAGTGTGTAAGCAGGATGCATCC